AGGAACCCACAGCTATTCCTGCTTCAGTGAAATKTGTATTGTATTAGTGGCTGGTGGGAGTTAAGAGAGGATAATCCAGTGAGCTGCCTTCTTCTACTGCTGTTTAAACTGGGGGATGAGTGAGAAGTCTTCCTTCAGTCTAGGGGGAGTGTGTATCAATGTACAGACATTATGTGAAATGACCTCTAAGTTATAATTTAAGGTTGCAAATCCAAAAGATCGTTGCCTAAAAGGCACCCTTTTGGAATATTGAATGCCTGAGATGGTGGAAGCCAGCTCTTCTGCTGATAGAGCCTTCAGATATCTAAAAGTAAGCTCAGCTGTATTCAGATGAGTGCCAGTGTGAGCTTCCTTCTGGTTCTGGTCTTGGAGGTGTTTTACAGTCTTTCTTTTTCACTGTCCTTGGGTTAGGATCCAGAAGAGCCTTGAGCAGTCTCAGTAATTATATTCAGTTTTATTAGAGATTAGRTTGTTCTTTGCAAGATCCAGACTTCTCAACACCTTCTCAAAAGCAGGGAGTCCTCAGCTGTATTTTCCTACTGCTGTGTCTTATTTGTTGAGTGCATTGCTGCTGTGCTMGATCCACTTTGGCTCTGTCTGTACAGGTCTTGAATCTCTGCAGTGGCAATGAGGAGATTGTACATCCTGAGAATGTCTGGAATGGAATTCCTGACCGGGATTGCAGATCATCTGAGGTATKGCAGTGTGATACTGGACTGGGCAGGACAGTACTGGTTTTTACAAACGGTGATAACTAACTGSTAAATAATGAAAAATACTTCTACTATGAAGTAATTAGGAAAGAATGGTAAGGTTTTCACCAGTGTTCTTCGTGAAGTACCTACYCGGGGATGAAAAACTCATATCTGGAACCCAAAACTCAGGTCATCAGCCGTTCTGCTGGTGATGGTAACAGCATGAATTTCCAGTTCATCCTTCACATGCAGCCTTTGCATCGAAGTGAAATGTGGGCAGAAGACTAATGTAGTGAGTTATAAGGGGGGAAAACAATGGTGAATAGGAGTCTAGTAGTGCTGATATAAAAAGTTAGTCTAGTTTTAAAGGAAATACCTCTGTGGAAGTCATGGCAATGGTACCAGCTTCCTAACAGGATCCCTTTTTGTGTAGGCTTTAACCCCTGCAACAGAAAACTTGCAGTCCTTACCAGAGGAGTCCTTACTTCAAGGTAAGTGTACTTTAAGCCCCCCGAATTGGTTGTGTACTGAGTGTTTGAATGCTTTCTAATTTTCTAATTGCTTTTTTATCTAAAATACAGTTGAAACCCTAATTTGAGTTTATGTAGTGGATGGTGTGGTTGGGATTTTCTTGGTAGCATTAACTTATATACTGTCAGTTTAAGGGTGACTACGTGCAATGAAAGCTGCTACTGTCTGGATTAGAAACCAGTGTAGTATTATTCATCTAATGGATTGAAACTCTTAGAAAAGATGGGGTCATTCACCCAAATTACAGATTTTGGCAGAGTTTTGAGCATTGCCATCAGCATGCTGTTCTTGGTCATATTTCTGAGGTAAGGTTACCAACTGCTAGGCAGACTCTATTAAGCATTTAGTTTAGGATTTAAGTACCCCAGTCCCATAATCTATTAATCTAAACCCATAATAAYATCATCTCAGCTGATCTAAGGATAGTTTGTAAATAGTTAATGTTCATCTTTATTGTTACTTCCAAAATTTTTAAATTTTATTAGTGAATACCTTCAAGTTCTTTCTGATTATATGCTATTTGCATAATTATGGAATTTGTAGAGCAGTTCTAGTTGAAAGGGGCCTTTGGTGGTGAAAGCAGGGCCAACTAGATCAGGTTGTTAAGGACCCTACTGCCAGTTCTGGAATGTATCCAGTAATAGAGACTTCAAACCCTGCCTGGACAATTTGATCTGTGGTTGCCTGATGAAGACTGAACGGACTTGAAGTGGAGATGGCATTTGTGCTTTCAGGGATTAACTGGTAATTGCATTTCAGTATAACTGTACTGGTTGATGGGTAACAAATAATGAAGCCTGCAAGAGATCTAGTTGCCTGTTGAGCAAGAAAAAAGGTAGTTAAAAAAATTTGAAACKATGTTAAAGTGGTGGGTCTGCTAACTCTTCCCTCAACTGCATCACTCAAATGCAGGATTATTCTTGCTTTTGTGGATTTTTTTCTTTCTTGAAAACTTTGCATGAAGTTAATGTATGCATCCTCAGCACCAGCACAGGAAAGGTGAGTCAGGGTTATCATCCATGCATCACAGAGCTGGATCCTGCTGCACACCCGTGCCACTGCCTGGAAAGGCAGTTTGAGTGGGAGATACCTGATTCACAAAAACTCCTCATGGCAGTGGCTCATGCCAAGCCCTCTAAGGGGTSGTGTGACTTCAGCTCATAACTGAAATCTGGGAGCACTGCTGCTTCATTTTCTTGGGCAGTTCTGCTGTTTCAGCTGTTTTATCTTTGTATAATAAATGTAGTCTTTTAATATGAGCCAATATGTCAATAATATTTAGTCTGAAGCCCTGCAGAGCTGACTTTTGATGTTAATGCCTTTATATACATTTATASAAACATCTTGATGGGTCTAATCTGTGTTTATTCCCTATAGAAAAGCAAACTGGCTGCAGTAGCAATTTAGTTGAAGATCCTCATGTCCTCCAGCATTGCTGAAACCAAGTGACAGGTTGACCAYGAGAAACTGAACAAGTGCCTGTGTATGAAATCTTCCCATGAAAATGTGTTTGTGGGAACAAAAATACATTAAAGCATTGAGTAGTTTGTTTTTTCTACCTGACCAAATGCCTGTCACTACTGYACTTCCCTGTAAAGGAATAGTGTTGGTAGACTGTTCTTGTCAGCTTGTTTTCTTACAGCTGTTGTTGCTAGGCTGTTACTGTTAGCTTGTTTCTTATAGCTGTGCTTTCTTTAATAAGAATTTGCTTCTTGACTGGCATTTTTTACTGACAGGGGGTTCACTGACTTGTATTGAGTTCTTGGTGGGTGGTTCTTCAACMAAGTTTTCTTGTGAGTTTCTGTATATGCTATTATGTTGTACAGCACTGCTTTCKGGTGTTTGCTTTTGGAAAAGTTGCAGTGTTAAGTGTTCTTTTTTCTCAAAAAAAGTTGAGAATATTTCAGGGGGGTTAGGGGTGGGGAGTATTTTTTTCCGCCATAGGGGAACATAGTTGTTTTGGGTTGAAGTCTTGTATTTGATGCTGTTCTAAAGCAATAGAAGAAGCTGGAATAAAGCTTTGGCTGGCATATACTGGTTTGTTAATGTGTTTTGTTAATGACTTCTTGTCTGTTCCTATGCAGAAGCCCAAAAGCTGCATGAGGGATGTTCTGCAGCCACCCCTTCTGTTTTGACCCTAWACAGCTCTCTAGAGCACTGTGAGCCATGGTAAATGCTTTGAAACATTAATTGCACTTAATTAATTGAACTTGATTGTTAGTGCTGCAATTGCACTAACAAAAGATGAAGCTTTTCCTATAAATATGAAGAAGACCCAGTGGAATGGTTTTGGTGCCACACATGTGCAACATGCCAAGGACATGACCTGCAGCTGTTTYAAGGAGATCTCACCTCTTACTCTGTTTCTCAGGTGTTGAAATGGGGGTTCTATTTTATATTTATACGTGTATTTATTGTGGTGTTCCATGCTCCTGTATAGTATAAGCTACTTCCTGCTTTTCAGAAGCTGGGGATTTTTCGTGTTGAAATAAGGTTTTAGGAACTCAGGCTGGCTGATTGTGAATCTCACAGTAGATCCCAAGTGTTAGTGCTGACTCAGTAAGACAAACACATGTTTATTTGCTTAATAGAGACAATACACGGCAGTAGGCTGAGGAGAATTTAATTAAATTCTGAAAGACAGACCTTAGTTGTTATTGCAATCTCATTTTAAGATCACAGATTATGTAAAAGATTTAATTACACTGTTAATTTCTTCATTTCTGTTCGCTTCAGTGCTTTTGTTTGTAAGCTGATTTTGAAATGAATATGATTTAGAAGACCCTTTCATGGAGCAGCTTCAGACAGTTCTGATCCAAAAGTGAGAGTCTTAGACAAGGCCAGCTAGATGGCTGCTGACAATCTTTGCCCAGGTACTAGCATTGCTGTCTGTTTGTCAGTGGGAGCCAACTGCTTCGTCTATCACCTCAAGACCATTGTGAATACCTGGACAAAGGTGAGAATCTGGAGAGTGTTTACTGCCAGGAGAGACCTCAGAAGATGAAGCAGTGCTAATAAAGACCATGTAAAGGGAGCTGTACAAGTGCCACATTTGTAATTTCACCTGCAGTCTGTGGACCGTGGTGACACAGGCATTGATAAGGCAGGAGCTGCTGGAGCTTTGCCCAAGGGCAATTACAGTTGCTACAACACTAGTGACCCATTCAGAAGCTTTTGGGATAGAAACATCATCCTCTAGGTATGGCACTAAACACATCTTAGATTTAAGTGGATTAAGCCTCTGTGAGGAGTCATGTGTCTAAACTTTCTCTGCTGTCAGCCGAACTCTTTCCTGTAGCTTTTACCGTGACTAATTTTATAACTGACAGAGTTTTGGAGATTACCCTCCACAGGCATCTCTGACTAGAAGGAGCAAAAACTTGCCCTATCTCCCAACTGTTGTCAGAGCACAGCTGAAATACTTAGTATCTAAGCAGAAAAGTGGTGGTTTGGGGTTTTTTTGTTTCTTCCTTACACTGCAATAAAGGCTTGCTGGATGCAAACTGATACAAAGCTTGGTAAACCAACCTCTAGCTGAGTTCCTTAGAGCTCACTCTGTCTCTRCAAACTTGACTCAAGTCAAAACAAGAAAGATCAGTTAAATTATTAAGTGATTTCCCCCAAGCCTACAAAGCAGAAGTTACCTTGTTGCAGTATTTCAGAGCATACCACTAACTCATTTGAACAGAAACCTCTGTTTTTATGATTATTTAACAACATAATGCCTTGTCTTTTTTTTTTTCTGTTCCACACCCCGGAAGTTTTGTAGGTCACCACATCTCTGAGCAATGTCTGGCCAACATTAATGTCCTGATGTCCATGGCATTTTCAATACTTCTTCATATTCCTTATTCTGGTTCAGCTGGAGAWGTGTCAATATTGGTTCCAGGAATAACATTGGGTCCTACGCCATCCACAAGAGAATCCCACTGATCAAAATCTTTCTTAAGACCTTAAGATGGGGGAAAGAAAACCCAAGTGGCCATGAGTTAAATAAACAGCTTTTTGTAAAACTACACTGAATAATGAAAACAACTAGGCCAAGTAGGGGAGGAAAATATTTTAAGGAGGAAAAAAACGATACTTCAAATTTTTTTGTACCAGAACAAAATGCCAGTGGTTTTCCTCTGAGGTGCTAGCTAGCAGTACAAAAACAACTGACAAACCTCTAGAAAAAACTCTGACTTATTTTTTTCCACTGACACTTACTTTGATCTTGATTTTATCTTGATTCTGTTTAACCATACAAATGGAATGGTTATATAAAAAGCTTCACAGGAATTAAATATTAATTAACTTCATACTTTGGTATAATGGATACTTACTCAGATGCTTCTGTAGGAAGGCTAATGAAGCATGATTGCTGATATCAATAGCTTCATTTGGATCTATTTCTCCCTTYAATTTGAAGAATCTTGCAATGATTCCTCCGCTCACAAAGGTGAAATCAGGAAAGCTCTGATGTACTGACCCCCTGCAAAGAAAAATGATCAACAGGCTTATGAGAATGCATTAAATTGCCTGATTAAAAGATACACAGACTTCAGTCACATGTCTTGTTGCTGTCTTTAGCAGAAGATAAAACAGGTTAATCTCATGAGCATGCAAGATTAGCAGGAAATTCTGCCCTAACCACAGAAGGGGGAGGAAGGTTTGTAGATGCTCACTCTAAGTCATTGTAACTGCACCAGCAGTAAAGAACTGGCTTGCAAAGCAACTTGATTTTGATGTGTCTGCTCTGTGGTGCAGGACAGAGCCATCCCTCCCCYGGCTGCAGAACTGCCCTCAGAAGGCTGTTTCAGGTGTTCAAATGCAGGCTCAACATGAAGCTCAGCACAAAACCTGTGCCCCAGGGCTGGAATGCACACCTTGGAGTATCTTAAACTTGGGGTTACTGGCTGCTTGGAGAGGTGTGTYCCCACTAGGGAGGATGTATGGCTAATTTAAGCATGCAGTGAAAACCTGTGCCRTGAGAAGAGACAGTCAYAGGATCATTTAGGCTGGAAAAGACCTTTAAGATTAWCAAATCTTAACTGTTAACCCAACACTGCCATTCCACCTCTAAACCATGTTCCTCAGTGCCACATCTATGTGTCTTTTAAACATCTCTAKGGATGGTGAYTCCCCCACTTCCCTGTGCAGCCTGCTGCTCCAATGCYTTGAAAACCCTTTGACTGAAGAAATATTTCCTAATATCCAATCTGAAGAGCCCCTACTAGGACTTGAGGCCTGGGAAAGGAGATTGATGCCCCCTCCCTCCCAGCTCCAYCCTCCTGTCAAGGCCTTGTAGAGAGCAAGGAGGTCCCCCTGAGCCTCCTTTTCTCCAGGCTAAACAYCCCCAGCTCCCACAGCTCYTCCTCCAACTTGTGCTCTAGGGACTGTCTTTCTGCAGTTACATGTAACTGCACAGCTCCAACAAGAGCTTCAACTACCAAAATAACTGATGGGGGCACTCACTTGATAGTGATCATTTTCTTGTTTGTGTCATTGGAGATAAGCTTCTTAATCTTTAAGATGTTCTCGGCCCACTGGAAYTTTTCAGAGTTGATAAAAAGCAGTGGTTGCTGGACACTGTTYTGGTAAATGTCATCACCTACAGGAAGCATCCATACGTCGAGGGCAATGCCACACCTGCCAAAAATATGTGGATATTTGCACAGAAGCAGGAAGCTTACAAGTTCTGAGCATGTTTTGAGTTGCATGAGATATGGCAAAGAGAAACGCTCTCTGATACTGAACAGATTATTTAATCATTTTGTTTCAGAATTATCTCTACTGTGGGGGAAGAGAATTAGTCCATTCTTGCATTTTTTGGTCTCCATTGCCAGGCACAGCTGGACTGCAGGGTCCCACAGTACCATGATATAAGTTGCAGCTATTATGTTCCACCACATCCCCACACTTGGGAGAAGCATGGCTGGAGAAAGCAAGACGTGCCAAACAAAACTTTTCTCCAGCAGCTAATCAGTAGTTGTGGGATCCTAGGTAAAGTGCCCTGCTCCAGACCTCTCAAGTGCCAAATGTCTCTGGCCTTGTTTTTCATGCTTACCTGAATCTTATTTCTTTGCTGAGACTCTCAATAACTGTAGCACCACCAAAAGAGTGTCCCATCACAGCTATTCTGCTAGTATCAACAGAATCCTGTCAAAAAAATCCAGGTGCTGTAAGAGASTTTCTTTCCCAAACTTACTTTTTTAAAGGGAATAATTATTGAAGTAGGAAGAGCATAATTTCAGCTCCRTTACTATTTATCCAGCTTGAGATGACCTGAGAATATGTTCATAGATCTACAATATGATCTTCAGAATACATTACAGGAACCAGTTTAGCAATGGAAGGGGGAAACTRAAAGCATGATTAGTTTAACAAAATRTAGCTGCCACCTTTCACTCACCTTTAGGCTGTTCCAGTTGAAGTCTGAATGTAGTACATTYGTTATTTCCTCTCCCGAATTGATTTTAAGAATGAGATTGAGAGCTTTGATACACTCCTGTGCTCTTTGCTGCACCTGGGGAGAAAGAGAGATTGAGGCAGAGCAGTGGAAGRAATCATCAGATGTCTGCCAGGCTTGATAGTCCCTTGGTCACAGAACTTACTGTTTTTTTCTCCCCCTGTCTGATACAGTACCAATTATTCTCAACTGCAGAATGGAGCCATCTGACAAACAAAATTGATTTTTGGCAGTATAGAGAGCTGAAGTTCTCATGTAGAACCTCTGCACACAGGAATTTATCCCTGTAACATGCACCAAAGGCCTTCAGCTCATTTGTCCTGTCACTGCTTAAGAAAAGGGGTTGTTGGGATGTGCAAAGGCTGAAGTTATACAACTTCAAGGAAGGCTGACTCGCTGCTGCTCCTCAGGCACACTTAGATGGAATGTCATTCCATCACTTGCCCCATCTCTATAGCCTTGATACTGTCTTTGCCCCAAGACAATAGCCTTGATACTGTCTTTACACTGGAAAAACCCAAATTAAGAAACAGTGAAGAAGCCTGTCCTGTTTTTTATATATACTCATCCTTGAAAACTGTRGTGAAGCTGTTGAAAATAAAGGTTTTCATTGTTCCATATAAGAACAACTTTTAACTGATATTTCAATAAAAGAAAAACCTCAAGAAGAACCTAATAACAGTAGTGATCTTGGGAACCACTGTGTGTAGACAGCCAGCAAGATGTCTGCGCATCACTAAATTTCAAATAAATCCCAATCCCCTGACTTCTCTACTTGTGAAATTTGCAGACAATGGGTTCTGGAGGTTATTTCCAAGCTCAGACATTACACATTGACACTCACAAGTAGGACATTGTACACATACAGGAAATGACTCTTGTACTGTTCTCTGTATGGCCCAGGGAGATAAAGAAAAGCACCTCCCTGGCTGTGTTTTCGTTAGCTGGAAAAAAACACTCCCATATTTTAAAGGTCAAGTCTATGCTTGGAGAAGCTTGTCAGTATGGCTACATCACATCTAGCATGAATACTCCTTATTACAGGCTGCACTGTTTACATTGCTAAAAAACACCTTCAAGTGTGGTACAGACTATAAAGCAAACATGCCAATCAGAACAGCCATGACTCATCTTGCTATGGAACAGTAAATGAAAGCTAAAGCAAGCCTAGGGCCACGCAAACACTTGAGCTCAGCTGTGTGTCACTTTTAGGCTGGGCTGGGCAGTAGAAGTAGGAAGACACARAGAAGAAACAGAAAGTTGAGTGGAACCCGGGGAGAAACAAATGACTCAGTCAAGAATGCAACTTGAAGAAAAAGCCTTGTTGAGGAAGCAGTTCATGCTCTGAAGAAAGCTGCTCTTGGCTTTTCCACCTTCAGAGAAATAGGACTTAATCCATTTTTATAYATCTCTGAGCCATGGCAGAAGACTGCTCCACTCCCCTGGCCAAAGGGAGAGAGTGCCAGTCCTAAACACAGCACTGCTGCCACACTTCCAGAGCACAGACCCAGCCCAAGCACCTGCTTATGGCGCAAACAACGCTCCTCCTCTCCAGTTTTCAGTTTCCTGTAGTAGATCCACTCCTTCTCCATGTTAGGTGTAGWCTCTTCCTGTGACTCAGAAACGGACCTTCTCTTACAAAAATAYGTTGCTGATGCAGATTCATCTCTGTAATATCAAGAGGAGATTATTTCTCAGTATTCATTCCATTTGGTTTGAGATGAAGACAGCACAAATTTTAGAATTTCACCTGTCTGAAGAGATGCAATTATCAACCAGCACTACTGCAGTGTACACTGACTTTCTACATCATGCAATAACCCCACCAAAATTCCCACCTCCTTTACGTTCTCCACCTTCTTTATATTCTAATAATAAGAGAGAGATAAGTAGCGTAACTGAAGAATGACAAATGATATCTAATCAAAGACTTTTCATTCTAGCACTTATCTAAGCAAAATTCTCTTTKTTAGAGAAGAGTTGAGCTGTGGGCAGTGTGGGCAGGCATTCTAAACAAAAGAGATGTTAGTTTTTCTTCTTAACAAAAATCCAAAAGTTCTCCTTTAGAATAAATAACACTCAGTTCATTGTGAGAAAGTTTTTTTCCATCAGAATTCCCAAATGTGCAGCATACTCACCTGTGCTCCACAGCAGCCACTATAAAGCCCTGAGAAGCCATCTCAATGCAAATAGCAGAATAAATTGTCCTGCAACAAAAACCACACTCTGGTGAGATGTCATTCTTTCAATTCCACTGCTCTTTAAATGCTGACCACCCTAGGTATGCCATAGTCCACATTCAATATTTCTTCTGAATTTGCTACCCAGCAGAGCAGGTTTTTGTATGCCAGGCACCAAAGCCTGTTCACAAAACCTTGGTACTGTTTTAYTGTCTATTCAGAAGAGAAAATGCTACTGATTTTTAATAAGTAGCACACACAGCACTTTGCATCTCCAAAAATCAACCAGCTAATCTTCACAATGTGCTTATGGGTTGCTAAATACCTTCACCTCCATCATACAAAGGGAAAACACAAATGGAGCATTGAGCACTTGGTCTAGTGGAAGGTGTCCCTGTCCACAGCAGAGATGATTTTTAAGGCCYCTWCCAACCCAGCCTGTTTTATTATGGYTGTTGTGAACAACCATACACCAACCCTGCTGTTGTTTCAGTGGAGGCATAATGACACACAGCAGCCTGTTCTTCAAATCTRTTTCAGCTCCAGAAGGATCTCACCCCCTACTGAAAATCTGTTCARAACCACCCGTGGAGGCTGCTGTCTCCATAGACAACAAAAACCAGTTTGTCAACAAACTGCAAAATTACCGAAAAGCTCCAAGTCCATGTGAGAAAATGAGAAGTGGGTATTTTTCTCCTGGCTTAAAAGCAGCATTTGAYTTTGCAGGACAGGTCACTGAACCTAGATAAAAATGGAAGTGTATGTCATTACTACTGAAATGAGAGAAAACATTTGTTCCTGTGGGAGAGATCCCAAGAATGTGGTCACCACTGATTTCAGAGCAATCATCTAAAGATAAGGTACCAAGTCTTATCCTTAAAATACAGAACTCAAATATGGATCTGATTCTGAAAACACTTTCTACTTGGCAGAAGATATTCTCCATCTCCTCCTCCCATCCACAACCTGGCACAAGGTCTACATATCTCAAACCCTAACAGTCAAGCATCCAGGTTTTGCTAGTATTCAGACCTTAGGATCTCTCTRACTTTTATATCTTTGCATGTTTCCCTGTGGGATTTAACTCCCAACACACAGGTGCAGCTTACCTAGWGCAAACTGTCCAGGCACTCCTATCCACGGCAGTCAGGGCCTGCCTGAGAACTGGGTCCCACTCAGCACTGAGCCTCATTACACAAATCCATCTCTCGAAAACACACTTCTTTGCTAAAAACTGTTTTTTTCAGCCCTGCAGCAGCAACACCCTGCTCATGAAGCACTGAGGCAGCGACAGGCAAGGAACAAAACCAGAACCAGTCTTACCAACGTAGTAATGGAAAAGCCTTTCTCCTACAACTCGGTACATATTCAGGAAGTCAGAGAGTCCCTGATAGTATTCYTTGTCTGGAATCCATCGTGCCTCTTCGATGTCTGTGGCATCACATGCTGGATAATACAGGCGCAAGAAGCTTCCCTGGGATTAGGAAAAGTGAAAAAAAAAAGGACTGTTGGTATTTATTTATATATGGCAGAGAAAATGGAAGATAAAATATTTATAGAAAGGGTTTCAGATGTAAGAATGCAGCTCAAGAGAATTATGAGAAATTATCATGAGAAAATTATTATCATATACAGGCTTTGATGCCAAGCCTGTGTCACAATCTTTCTGTCCCTACAATGTATTTAAAGTAGCATGAGATACACATCATCACAGGTGGAGATACACATCACCTCCTCTAGGTTAGCCTAGGGCTTATCAGAAATGCCTCCTTTACTTAGGAGGCATAACTTAAGTTAATTATTACAAACACTCACTACCTATTTAYTCCATACATCATCTTGCTGGATCTTTTCTTCCATCTTCCGCACTGGGAATGGTTTGGTGATGCATTTGGTTATGTTTTATAGGGCTGACTGAAGATGAGGCTCAGAGATTTTCGGCTGTTCAGCCAGGACAAGAGAAGGCTCTCTAATGTGGCTGTAGTGCTCCTGCCTAAACTGCCTAAACTGAGCAGAGGCTGTCAGCAAAGCTCTTGGGCAGCTGCAYAGCAAGGGAGCACAATATATTGCTCTTCCTCCTCATCAAGATGTTTGTAAGTCACTCCTGGTCCATCTTGCTAACACARGTTTGTTAACCTGTGTTTCATCTGCCTCTGCTTCTCACCACCAGTTCAAATCTCTTGCTGTGTGCACTTCAGGTCTCCCAGGAAAGCTTTCCACACTCACAGGAACCCTCCACACCCCCTCGTCAGTCTTTCCTTCACAGCAGCAATACACCAATGCACACCCCAAGGCAGACCTCCCAGCAGATGAACTGTGTGCAATTTGCATTCTTACTTCCTGGTTTCAAAGGAATTTGCAACACAGTATTCAAATCAACTGTCTTGCTCCAACTGTACTTTTGGTTTAGCAAGTTAAAGTTAGGGCCAAAATAAACATGAGCTTTGAAATAAAGCCTGATTTCTTGAACAATAATTGATCAGTTAACCAAAAGTTTGTTTAATGAAGCTTATTTCTATTCACTTATCACACTTAAATCAACCTTTGACACAGAGACCATTATGGTAGAACTTTCCTCCACTTTGKTAGCAATATTAACTTGACCTCCGAATAGTCCCAGTGAACCTCCCCACTGACTTAACTGTTTACCAGAAAGGGGAAGAGGTTTGTTATCTATGCCTGAGCCATCTGCATTGTTCATAATGCTTATGTAAAAAAACCCACACAGGCTAATGCAAAGAGAAACTAATCACTGCTCCATGCTGATAGAGAGTAAGCTCASTGAARGAAAACATATGAACCATTACAAACTGATCACAAATTCCACTATAGCTGGCTAGTCTGAGGAGTAAAATCACAGTGTAAACRCAGGTGTATTCTCTCAAAGGCAAGAGGAAATGAAAACTCAAAAGCAAGCTCATTACTTGCCTGGTTACTGTCTATATCTTGTTATTGTGGCTTCTCACTGTGGTAACCTCTTGCAGAATTGACATGTTGTTCTCTTCAGAGAGACAAAATCTCAAGAAGACATCTCATCTTTTATCCTGCAGCTGAAACACTGCATAGATTTCTATCCCAACCCTGAATACCTTCATCTCCCAACCTTGCCAAATCCTGTTGGGATCTTTGTGATGAGAACAGCTACAGTCACAGAAACTGCGTACGGAATCTCAGGAGCCCAGCGCAGGAGGAGGCTGTGGAGTGAATGGGATGAACCCCCAGGAGGACACAGTTTCTCTGCAGTATCTTGCGTGGGAGAGTCAGAAAGGCAAGGATATTAGAAGGAGGGAGGAACTGGCCATGGGGAAGGCTTGTCCAGTACACATCCTACACCAGGACGGAGAGGATGGAAAGCTCAGGTGTGAGTGTCAGTGTGGAGCACACARATGAGACCTTCTGTTTGATTCATCTGTAAAACTGCAGCTGGTTGTTYCACTAACATTGTGGCTTAAATCCAACAGAGAACAAATCAAGAGCTTTACCTCAGCTGCATCTTCTGTCATCAGGTCTGTACATCCAACTGAGTGTGGTCCCTTTCCTTCAGGGATCCTGTAAAACTTCTCAGTGCTGCTGCTGCTCCACATTTCCATTGATGCCTTCACCGACAAACCTGGGGAAGAACACAAAGCAAATCAAGAGACCACCATGGCCTCCGTGACCAGATCACCCTCCCTGAAACAAACCCAGCACGCTGAAGGTTCGGAATTAGAAAAATCAAGATTGAGCCRCTACAGAAATCTGTTCGTGAGAATCAGAGAAATCCCGAATTGCCAACCTGACCTGTTCTACTGGGGATTTTCCTTGTTGTATCCTGAMTCCCAAGGAAGAGACAGCACCGTGCACTTACAGAAAAGTGGGATGAAACCTTAGGCTGGCGATGCCGCGGCGGCACTCGGGAGGTCTGTGGTGCTACGAACCGCACAGAGGGAGGATTCTGCTGCTCCTCAAGGAAAACCGGCCTGTGCATCAGGGGGAGCGGGGTGTCACGGAGAAACACAACGCCGCAGCCATTTTTCCAGGAGGAATGACGAATCCCGRGTTCGGCCTTTGGCGAGACAAGGTCGGGTTGGCCGAGCCGGAGCGGGTGTCGGGGCGGTGTGGCCGTACCTGGGGTGACCCCTCCGCGCCGGGCTGGTCCCGGCGATGCGCACAGTGCGGGGGGAAACAGCCGCATCCCGGGCCGGGCTCTATCTGCCGCCTTCTCCTCGGGGAAGGAGACGCGGGACCGTCCTCATCCCGGTACCCCAGCGCTCGGCCCCGCTCCCCGGGGCGGGCCTGCCGGGGMAGCACTCCCGGGGCGGGACTCCCGGCGCGGTGTCACGACGGCTCCTCCCCGGAACAGCCGCCCCGCCCCGGAAAGGTCCCTCACAGGCGGCGGCGCGGCCGATCCCGGTGCTGCCAAGATGGTGCGGAAGCTGAAGTACCATGAGCAGAAGCTGCTGCGGCGGTTGGACCTGGTGAACTGGGAGGCGTCGGGCGGGAACCTTGCGGAGGTGCGGGCGCTGCGGCGGTACCGCCTGGGCCGGCGGGAGGACTACGCGCAGTACAARGCCCTGGCCCGCTCCGTGCGCGTCCTGGCGCGGAAACTCCGCGACCTGGGCCCGGCCAGCGCCGCCTTCCGCGCCCGCTGCGCCGCCGCGCTGCTGGAGAAGCTGTACGGGCTGGGGCTGGTCAACAGCCGGCAGTCGCTGGCCGTGTGCGAGAGCCTCTCGGCCGCCGCYTTCTGCCGCCGCCGCCTGCCCTGCCTGCTGGTGAAGCTGCGCATGGCGCAGAACCTGCGCCACGCCGTCACCTTCGTGGAGCAGGGCCACGTCCGTGTGGGGCCCGAGGTGGTGACGGACCCCGCGCTCCTGGTGCCCCGCGCCGTCGAGGATTTCATCACCTGGGTGGACGCCTCACGCCTGCGGCAGAAGGTGCTCGACTACAACCAGGAGCGCGACGACTTCGACCTGGCGGCGTAAGGGCTGCCCTGCCTGCCCGGCTGCTCTGCCCCAGGACACACAGACCAGTCAAACCACGGCGGTGCCACCATCGGCTGTGTGCAGCCATCCCTTCCAGACACGCCTGCAAAGGGAGCCTGAAGGAAACTCTGTCCAGTGTCGGATTGCCCTGCTCCTGGCTGCCTTTTGCAGCTGATAGTTCCGTTCATCCATGCAGAGGAAGGAAATTCCATTACACATCCACTGCTTTGAGAATTCATCCGGTGACCCAGCTGCCCCATCATCCTTGGTGTGCCCAGCACCATCATCATCCTTGACATTCCCAGCTTCATCAGCCCAGCAGCTCAGCTTCATCACCATCCCTGGTGTGCCCAGCTCCATCAACCTTAAAGTGCATCTCTGTTGTCCTTACATCCCCTAAAGCAAAAGTGCCTGGAAAAGTCTGCCCAGTCAAAAGATAAGAAGTGGTCGGGTTTAAGTGCTTGGCAGCTCAACAGCAGCTGCTGGAAGGTGTTTTAAGCCAAGCCAAGTGGCWGTTTTAAGACTGCATTTGGCAGCTTCGCTGCTCTTTTTCCAAGAAGTTGTCCTGAATCTTCCTTTGCCTGTTGGATGCACAGACTTGCTTCTGGAAGGGTTTTCCCATGATATCAAGGGACAAGGAGGGAATGCAGGGATTCTTGGRGGTCAGCAGTAAACAATGAGGCCAAATACTGCATATCTGGAACTGTTAAAAGTTTTAGCCAAAAGCAGAATTTTAAAAAATACCAAAAACACCAACTCTACTTTCATGTGAAGTTGTGAAGAGAAGTTTGATGCTTTGAGTTCAGTGTCTTTGCTGTGTGGGGTTCCAGCTGACAATTATTTACAGAACAGGATCTATCTGGGGAGGTGTTGGAGCAAAAGCTGATCTAAGCATAACTGCAGAWTTGGGAGAACTTTTGCATTTAGCACATTAGTCAGAGGCTGTTGGGAACTTTGTTCCCCTTTGATAAAAAAAAAAAMAARCAGAAAAAYGAAAATAAAACTTGGGCTTTTTTAGTTGGTGAAGAAATGTGTGGAGTATTTTATGATACAGTTTCTCTGAGTTTATTCTGATTTTTAAATGTTATCRTAAGCCCTGTTTGCCACCTTCCAGAACTTTTTCTTCTTTTTAATTTAGGTTTTTATTTAACTGATGTAATCTTTCTATGTAACTTGTATAAGGGATTTTTTAAATAGCTACAAGGCTATTAGTGAGTTTTAAAATGTTTTTTGCCAGGAATGCTCCTTTATCAAGAGCTATCAAAGGATTKGGGAGTAGGTTTAGGAGCAGAACTGTGACTGTCCAGCCCAAATCTGAAGAGCTGAAGTTCAGCTGCTGCCAAAACTCTGGATTTGGATGCTTTAACGTGGTTTAATTTGGATGCTTTTTGAACAGGAAAAGCGTTCAGGTAAGGTATGTTTTGAAGGTATTGTGTGACCACAGCCTGTCATCAGATATTATGGCTGCCTTTAAAAAGCAAACAAAATGTTTACATTTCTCCCCATCTCATAAGCCAGCTGTATTAAGCAGAACATTAATTATTAAAGCAATAATAGATATTTAGAAAAGGACACTAAGCAGGTGGATAAAACCCTTTGCCTACTACTGTGGTTTGTACTTGAATTTATTTCAATCATCACCTTAACAACACCTTAACAATCTTTTTCTCAAGGTGTACACCTTGCTTTTGATAAGAAATGCAAATTGAAAACAGTTTCACACCTGAACCATGACTTTTAAACACTTTTCTTAGCTTTCCTCTAGAACAATGCCATTATTTCTTGGGAAATTTAGAAGATGTCTAATTCAGGTGCAGGTAAAAGTGGTGCTTTTGCTGTGCTTTACTCTTTTGGGGGATTTTAAATAACAGCACAGTGTCTGCAGGGCATTTTACTACTGAGATGCTAAACTGCTGTTCTGCCCACTGTGTCCAGCTGTTGGAGGAGCTGCAGAAAATGTCAAACCTCCAGCCTGCCAGCCTCAGTAGTTTACATCATCAGCCCATTCTTTTTCTGTTAAAACAACTTTTCATCGTTCATCTGTGCCCCTTCAGCATCTGCAGCAGAAGATAAATGACTCTAGGCTGCTAAGTTAAGCAGTGGGAATTGATTCCCCTAGAAATATGTGGGATAACAGCATCCATCACCCCTGCTCTCCTCCTGTGGTACTGGAAATCAAATTCTTGTGTTCTCTGAGAAATCAGGCTGTGTCTGTGTGTGTTTTAAGTCTGGAATTTCACAGCTGCGCTGGCTGTACAGCAGCTGAGACCTGAGATGAGTGTCCTGCTCCTCAGTTTTTAGCAACTGGAGTCCTCACATGCCCCTGACCAGGGCTGGGTCCATTCCAAGTGTGATAAAAACAGGTAAAATGGGAGTTTCAGGAGCACACCGAGGGATGCAGTCCCTGCTGCTGATTACAGCCAGGGAAATGATGGCTTCCTCGTGTTCCATGGTGCCTTAAGCTCCTGGGTTGGTTTGTTTTCCAGAGCTGACACACTGTGGCCGCTGCTGGGTGGTTCCCGCAGCGGTACCAGACCCGGGATTGAAAGGGCACAGGAAGCAGCTCTGACAGCCTTTCCCAACCCCTGGATAAACATGGAGCCTTTTGTGAAATTCCAGCTCTGATCCAATGTCAGTACAAATTGGCACAGCTTCCATGGGCCTGTGTGAACTGGTGTGAGAATTTGATTCAACATTGCTTTTTTTTGGGCCAGATCCTTCAAACTCTCYGCTCCAGTGCTCTGGGAACTTGCAGCACGTGGGAGTGGCAGGATGGGTGTCACTGCTTTTCCCTGCACCTTCTGAAGTGAACTTGATGTTTCTCACGTGGCCCAACRTCTCCATGAACCTTGTGGGAAGCTGCTGGTGCAGGGCAGAGGATGCTGGTGCTGGTGATGGGGCAGACTCTCTCCATGCCTGACAAAACCAGGTCACTGACAAAACTTGGTCACGAGTGCCCATCCCAGCAGCTGGGCTATGCAGGGGTGCCAGGTTCTCCAGCAAGAGAGGAAGGGGTTGCAGGAGAGTGGGAAGTGTGAAAGCCACTGGAAAACAACGAGTAGTTTCCAGGCAGGAGCTCTCACTTAGTGGGCAGGAGGAAAGGAGGTTTTACCAAGGCCTATGGTTTTAGGTTTGAGGGTGTTTTTTTCCTTTTAATTTTTTCTCCTTTTTTTTTCCCCTTTTTTTTTTTCTCTCTTGACCTTGGCTTTTCCTTTATTTGAAGGCTGCCAAAGCAGGAAAGCTGAGCCTGAGGAATGCAGGGGGAGCTGAAGSAAAGTCCTTCACACACTGACGCCCTTTGTGCTGCAGAGTGTAAAAGGCTGAGGCTGCCACTGAAATGCAAATGTGTGGTTTTTCACTGATCCAAGTTACTTTTTTTTTTTTCCCAGTAAACAAGCATGCTGCATGTTTTAAAGGCTGCTTCCATCCATTTTGGTGTGGCTCAGTGCTGACCTCAGTAAATCACTGACAGCACATGGACATTTTGGTGTGGCTCAGTGCTGACCTCAGTAAATCACTGACAGCACATCACCATGAGCACAGGGGTTGGGGAAGGATGGTGATTCATGATTCATCCCTCTTCTCAAGATAGGAAATGGAGACTCAGAGAAGCAAAGGTGGAGCTGGGCAATTCCCGATTTGGGGTGATGGTCCTACGTCCTGGGCTAGGCCAGGGCCTCCCAGCTTTGCTGAATGGCACCTCCCTGTGCTCATCTCTGCAGGACGCCCCAGTAAGGTACCCCACAGCAGATGGAAGTGTCACYCCTTTTCTGTTCAGAGCTCTGAATAATCTGTTTCAAATACATCCCTTGACTGATCTGACCCTGGAGATTGAACCAAAGAGCCATTTCTCACCACCAGGGCATTTTTGTCACACTCTAGTCCCTATCCCAGATGCCAAAACATTTCAATGTCCCCTGGGTCTGGGAGATTATTATGTTAAGCATTGTGACAGCGTTTACCTGAGAGCCCCAGCTCTTGYCCCTATTTTTAAATACTCCATTTTAGGCAAATACTCAATTTAAGCAACTCTTCTGATCCATTGCTTGCTGGTGTGGCCATGCAGCAGGACTTTGAGGTGCGAAACCTTCCTGCTGGGAACTGTTCTTTCTCTGCAAGCACAACAGTCCCTTCCTCCCTCRTATCAGCTGATTTTGAAGAGAGAGAGTGTTTCACTCCCAGCAGGCAGAGAAAGGGGAGGCCATTAATGACAGACAGATGAAGATTTGAGCATTTCCCGTTCCTCCTGGAGTTGCCCATTACAGGACCCCACATGTCCCCAGCAGTAAGTCAGCATAATTTCTGAGCTGTTATGAACATGTCAGTGGGGTTGGTGAGTGCATACCAGGCAGCACCACCACCCCTGCTCCCTACCCCGAGCAGCCAGCACCCACTGCTCCTGGAGAGGCTGGGATGGTTGTGTCACAGGGTAAAGTACAGCCAGGCTGTCCTGGCGGGTCTGTGTGGCTGGCATTGCAATCCTCCATTTGTCCCTTGTACCTGAGCTCAGGCTTAAAACACACCAGGGCACCACATCCTAAAACCACCTCCTCTCCCCATCAGCTCCAGCAGCAGCTGGGGTGCAGGGTCCTGTCAGGTATCGGGATGCTGGGTTTGGAGGGGCTGGATGCCGTGCTGGCAGAGAACTCAAACCTCCTGCCCTTTGTCCACCTCARCCTCACAGAAAAACTTKGGTGGGTAAGGAGCGCTGGAAGTCMCCTAGTYCTMAAAGCAGGRCAGYATGGGGCTGCCTCAGTCTGCACATCTCGTGCTGGACACCTGCAGCACAGTTTAATCTGTGAATTATATTTTCCCCTTCCATCTGGTTGGAATTTTCCCTATGGCGTCCCGGGATTGCTGCTTCCCATCCCTGCACTGGACACAGCAGTGTCAAGAGCTGGGTTATTTTTCCCCAGGGGAAGATTTCCTTGAATGCTGTCCACACACACAAAGGGACGTGTCCCCAGTTACCCCTTTCAACTTATCCCGAGTGAATCCCACAGGATTCACAGGATCCCGCAGAGTGAATTCCCGAGTGAATCCCACAGGATTCACAGGATCCCACAGAGTGAATTCCGCAGGGACTCACAGGGATTTGGGGCCGGATAAAGGGCTGCAAGGAAGGAAGGAAGGAAGGCAGCGCAGGAGCGCGATCCCTCGAGGACTGGGCACAGGGAGTGGGAGATCTGAAACTGCGCAGAAATTACTCAGCTCCTTAAAATCCCCCTCACGTCACCATTGCTCCTCCCCGTGCTCTCCCCAGACCCTTTTCTGCCCTTTGTAGGGTTTCACGTACCTGTTGTGCGGTGTCCCGGCTGTCCCCTGCTCCCGTCCCGCTGTCCAGAGGAGCAGTTTGTCCCCTCAGGAGCCGGGCGAGCGGCGGCTGCTCCCGCGGGAGGACGCGGCTGTCGCAGGCTCAGCCACTGCCGGGCTCTCCCCGAAGGGGAGGGACCAAACTTTGCCTTAGTTTTCAGCTGAGACAATCTTTCTGGGAGAAATCTTCCCTGGGCCTGGAAAACAAGTTTCTGGCGTGGAGCCATCCCCAACAAAGCCTGCGCGTCCCCGCGGAGCCCGCGGCCGCCGAGGTGCCGGGCCGGGCCCCGGGACGGCAGGGACATGAGCGAGCTCGTTGTGTGTGAATTCTGGATCTGCCGGCCGGGGCTGGCTCAAGCAGCAAGAACCCCGCGAGAAAATTCCCCCGGATGGGTTGCAACACCCCTGCAATCTCTGTGGCCAGGCGAGCAGGGGGGGAACGGCGCTTGGCTCAAGGTTGCGCTGTAAAAATAGAAATCTTTTCCTCGGGCCTTCTGAGAAGGGGATAATCACACATTAGGGAAGGGGTTCCCGCTTTTGGGTAAAGCTTCTGGAGTGGTTGAAGGTGGATTTAGCACAGGTCCCTACTTGTGGGGCAGATCTGCACTCCCCTTTGCACAGTCCTGTCATTTTCCCCCTCAGTAATGCTGAATTCAGTAAATTCACCTGAAACCGGCATCAATAATAAAAGATTAATTTTGTGAGAGATCAACAGCTGTGAAATGGCCCCGTGAGCTTCAAGGCTAGCAAAAGGAGGCAGCAGAGGAGGAGGGGAGTTAAAATTTGGCCTGGTTTAATTGCTTGTGGATTATCCCCTTATAGAGAGCTGGTGAGCTCCTGGCGTGGGATCAGCAGCTTCTCTTTGCGTGTGTGTGAGCTGAAGCTGGAAAGTTGTTTGAAAAGGTCCAAGATTTTCTTTGTCCTGTACTTTTGTCCAGCCCTCATTTCAAGTGAATTTTAATGCCATTGAAAGATCTTGAATAAGTCACAAGATCTTTTAATCTACAGGAACAGGTTCTTCAAGATTAGTGAGAGACAATGAGGATAAGAAAGTAGTACGTAGGTTGTTAAAGTAGTAGAGACATCAAATCCAATGATTGTTCTGTGGGCCACCAGGTGCTTCAAAATTTATTTTTCTTTTTAATATATTCAGATTTTCCCAGATGTGCAGGAGTCAAGCTCAGTAGAAGAGGAGTATAGGTCTTTCTTTTGGATCTTATCTGCACAATCCAACCACCCAGGCATGAAACAGGCTATGAATCTCTCTGACATTTATATCTCATCTTTTTCTTGCAAGAGAGAAAGAGAAGGGTAAAGATGATGCTGTGGACTTGCCGCCTGGGATGTGGTTGGATGTTTATGGGAATTGGGAGCAGGGAAATTATCCCATCCCCCTCTGTCTCCCAGGCTGTAGACCCTGGGATTGCAAACCTTCCCTACCATCAGCCTCTGCAAGCTCTGATGTTGGTCCTTTCCAATATGCTCAACATGAAAGTCACACTCTTTTCAAAGCTGCAAAAATTACACCATGAAGTAAATGCAGTACAGAAGCTGGAGCAAATCCTGAAGCATTTTTGGTTTATGAGGGTGATTGGACTAATAGCTCAAGATCAGCTTGAATGGGAATGTGAATATAAAAGTTTTTGGTTAGACCAGACTGGAGTAAATATATTGCAGTTTCATCATGAGGATAACGAGGTAGCCTAGTGATCCTTGCAATCTACTTAAACTCCCTGCCAGAAAAGCAGCTGGGAAATACCCACTAGCACAGGTATAAATATTGAAATCCACAGCCTTGCAGGGGCTGATGAGGGTTTGTTCTGTGGGGCTGTGGATGAAAATTTTAAGCAATGATGTGCCATAGCTGAGTTATTTTCTAGACTCACAGAATGGCCTGAGTTTAAAGGAACTTTAAAGCTCATCCCATCCAAYCCTCTGCCATGGGCAGGGACAACTTCCACTATTCCAGGTTGCTCCAAGCCCCATCCAACCTGGACTTGGACACTTCCAGAGATAGAGCAGCCACAACTTCTTAGGATACCCTGTGCCAGGGCCTCACCACCCTCACAGCCCAGAATTTCTTCTTAATATAGAATCTAAATCACTTCTCTTTTGTTTTAAGACCATTCCTACTTGCCCTAAATTCTCTTTCTTTTTTTTTTCTTTTTTTAATCTGGTTAGCTTCATTATTATTATTATTATCCCTTTTTGTTATTTTCACCAAAGAACATCAGAGKATATTTGCACAGACATCTCTATCGTTGCAATAAAATGTTGTCACTAAGAGACCTGCAGCACTGGCAAGGGAGGAGCCAGTTCCCATGGTTAGYGAGCACAACAAACCCATGGCAAATGTTCAGTGTGGCTTTAGCTACGAGCCCTTTATATAAAGAACTGCATTTCACTGCAGATTTCTGTGTCTACAGACCAAAAGTCACCACCGGTCTGTGATCTCCGGTTTGAAGATAAACCATAATTTTATTTTTCCCCCCATGTCATTCCTTTTTCCTGCTGTTTGGATGAATCCTGGTTTCTCACGGTGTCTGTCTCATTTTTAATYCAGGTGCTGCTTGAGCTCTTAGAGCTGCTGAGAGGAGCTGATACATCAGTGAGCACCCACTGAACGGCCATCGCTCTGTTACCAGTGCCTGTCTGAAGAGTGCAGCATGACAGAGCTCCAYGAAGCTGTGGCTTTGGGGGACTATAACTGGGCAAAAAAGATTTTGAAGGCAGGGCGCTGTGACCCAAACGAGAAGGATGTCGACTGGCATGACAGGACCCCTCTGCACTGGGCTGCTGCCAAAGGTGAGGGCACCCCCAGCTCTGGACATCATAAAAGCTGATGCTGACTGTAGTTGTATCTATGCTGGCAATAATCACAGCTTGTGTCTGGTAATTTTGTCCCTTATGAGCAAAAAATGTAAGCCCCCCCATTTAAAAGGAAACTTTGCATGCAAAATAATTTATGGGGTTGCCATCAGGGTGATTTTTAGCTTTTTTTCTTCCATCACATGACAATTTGCAATTCACATGATGTGTACATAGAACATGGCTGCTTTTCCCCCACCCTAATTTTCTAAGAGGTGACTCCATGAGTTTATTTCTCTTGTACACCTGTGGGAATGAGCAGAAAGTCAAACCCACTGTATTTATACCAGGTATTTATCAAACCCAATACAACAAAATAACTGTGTTTTATGTTGCTCTGCCTTTATCCCACCTGCTCGAAGGAACAAGGCAGGACTAGAGCTGTTTGCAGCTCCCATTTGGTCCTTCCTGTTCAAAGTGTGGGGYGAAGTAAAATATTCCTTTGCCACCCAAAAAAGAGATGATGCAACAATATATAATGTATAATTGTACACAATGCAAAAAGGGAAACTGGACATCTACTCCTCTATGCTACATTGTTTGTTGGGATCTCATGGCATCTGTCTTTGCTCAGAAATCAAGTGTGGGATTTGCTGTTTTACCCTTCATACCRTATTTTTCTTTTGCCCTGATGAATTGTAATGCATTTAGACATCACCAAGGGGAATTAAGCTAGTTAGCAAAATGATGATGAGACACTGACATGACCTAGATGGGATTGGGAATGATGCAGCACATTGAAGACAGTGTTGAGGTGAGGTGGAAAGAATTTTTTTTTTTATTTAAGCAGTTCCACAGGTTAGAAAAATATGAAGGTGATCTATCCAGCAAACCTTTGTTTTAGTAAAGATGTTCACAGGTTTTTCCCTTCTTAATACTTAAATTTTATTTTGCTTTGAACTAAAAACCTAAATGAAGCAAGGAACTAGTTAGCTGTTCAATGACTAATTGAAGTGTGCTGCTCAGAAATTAGAAAACTTTTTGATTTGATTGTTTTTCTTATTGTCAATTTCTTCTGATAACAGCCTAGTTTGGGAGAAAATAACCAGCATTTCCTATTCACTATCATTTATATGATATGATACAAAACAAATGGTCAGGTGGGTAAAATCCATGGCTGAGGGAATTACGATCTGTGTGTCACTGCCTTCTGCACCATGAAAGATAAATTCTTATCTTCTCTCCCGCTTGTGCTGCGCATTCCAAGGGCGGCTGGACCTGGTCAGGCTCCTGGTGGGTCACGGCGCCCGGCCCTGCCTGCGGAGCGATGTGGGCTGGACCGCGGCTCATTTCGCTGCCGAGGCGGGGAAACTGCGGGTGCTCCGTGCCCTTCACTCCCTGCACGCTGCCATGGACGCCGCCGATCTCTTCGGGGACACTCCCCGGAGGCTCKCGGAGATCTACGGACACCGCGAGTGCTCCAAGTTCTTGGAAAAGTGAGTGGTGGTGTCAGAACAAACAGAATGTGATACTTATCTTCTCCCCAAAGCCTGCTAAAGCCCTGACACACAAGCTGTAGTAGATAAGCAAACACGGGGGAGCCATGGGAAGAAATTMTTTTATTCCCCTGCCTCCTGCGGTTTGCCTTGGTATGTTTTCAAAATCGTTACACTTTGTGACATCATTGTTTTTTGTAAAGATGTTGCAGAGCGGTTATTAAGCAACAGAAATGAAAACAACAACTGTCAAGTGTTAACCCTTTGCAGTGGTGAATAGCAAATGCAGGAGTTGAGCTGTTTTGGAGCAGCCCTTAGCAGTTGAATGTGTGTGTGTACATACATACATATGTATACAATTTGTTTTTTTACAGTAAAGAGCCACCCTATTTTATATGTAATTATTGAAAATTAGACCTCATAAGTAAATAGGATGGCCACATATTACTTTCAAATTTTGGGAAACTTCCCGTCATCTTAATTGCTTACAGTTAGCCCTGTGGCTCCACATGCCATGAAAATCTTGGTTTTAAAACCATGTTCTTCGACATTGGTTTGGCTCACAGACGTTTTCATCCTGTTTACCTGGTTCAGAATGCTTTACTGCAGAGGTTTGAACTAGGTCCCATCCTGCATCTCTCTGAAGGAATGGGGCAGATCATCATCAGAGGCCAACCAGTTTGCAAACCAGCATTACTTGGTATTTAAATACACTGCCCATGAAACTTGCATGTCAGACACTGGGGTGCTGAGAGCTCCCAAAAGTGTTTTCTCCCTGAATTTTTCTGTGAATTTACAGTCCCACCATCATCCTTCACTGGCATCTCTTTTACCATTGCCACATTGTCAAGACTGCTTTGGTACCACGTATGTCCCGTTTTTGTTTTTTTTTTAACAGGCATTTATCCAACTCACAGTCTCCGGCTTGCCAGTGCAGCACACGAGCTGCCAACTTCAAAATCAGGCAAATGTCTGAGGAGGCCAGTGCCTTACAAATGCCACTTTTCATTAATCCACATAAACCTTTCTGTAGGTACTGCTGTCCTTTTGCAATACTTCTACAGATTTTTGCTTCCTGCTGAAATGYGCCATGCCCACCTTTTATCTTCACACAGCACCAGTGTCCTTCCATGCAAAAAGACACCCAAACTGTGCAAAATTCCCCTTTGTAGGGAAGCCACAAGTCCTGGTTTCCAAGCTCTGGCTGTTATGGAAGCTGTTGATAGCTTTGTATTTTACCTCCCTACCCAACACAGAATCACAGAATCAAAATGGTTTGGAGAGACATTAAARCTCATCTCATTCCAACCCCCTGCCATGAGCAGGGACTCCTTCCACTAGACCAGCTTACTCAAAACTCCATCCAACCTGYRGGATCTGAACACTGCTRGAATGGGGCATCCCAGACYACTTTACAGCTAAAGTCCTGCTGTTTTTGGAGCTGACATGCTGCAAACCCTCACTATTCATCACTTTTCTTACCCTCAGACCTTCAGTTTAAAGGCATTTAAGCAACCAGCTGATACCTAAGCTTTGCAAATTAGGTATTTTTACTACCTAGACAGTGACTAGGTAGTAAAGGTCAGGTTTGCCAGGCCTTTGAGGATGGGTTATCACTGAGACTCAGGAACACTTTTTAAGACCAACCACTATAATTTATGACCACAGTGGATGCCTTTAGCTTTGCACGCTGGCTTCATCTCCTCACGTCAGCAAACTTGGAGTTAATGGGAGGAACAGCTGTCATTTGTAGTGTATTTTGATTAACTTCGGCTCCTTCAGATGGGCAGAAGGTCCCAGAGGTGATGTCCATGGTCAGGCAGWGGTGAAAGGAGCTGGGCAGTACTGAGTGTGCTGCAGACAGAGAATTAAGTGTGCTTGCACGTAATGCTACACAGCATAGAGCAGCTCTGCCCTCCATTCATGGTGTCTGTGGGATATAAATATGAGGAACATTTTGTTACACAGCATCCCTGTCAGTTTKGGATATTTGCCTGTCATCCAAAAAGAGAGAAAAGACAGTTTCTAAAATAAGAGTCTGAGGGTCTGCACCAAATGCAGGACTGATGTGCCTGTCTACACAGGGCTATGAGCACCCAAATCCTTCCTGAATCTGAACTCAGCCCCCTCTAGCACCACCATGRCCCTTGAATGCTGTTTGTCTGTCCCCAGGTGTTGCCAGCTGCATGAATTATCTGCTTGCATGGGCTGAACCATGTTGAGGACTGCACCCACATGGAAATATTACATTAATCAACATGGAAATATTATTAACATGCAAATATTGGGAATATTCTGCTACCAAGTATTGATATCACTCACTGAGGTTTGCATGAACATGCAAAAGTTAGGAAACAGCTTTCAAAAGAGCTGCTTCTGAATAGCAAATGTATATTTTGCATCAGATTTGGTTTGCATGAGGAGGGTTTTAGTCTGGATGCTATGAGAGCTGCCAAGGATGGCACAGAGACCCTCAGCTCATGTCTGCTTCCAGCCTCTATGCAAAGTGCCAGCTGTTGAAACTGTACCAGAGTGTCCTGCAATCTAAGGCCGGGGCACATATATATTCATGTATAAATATATATATATATGTAAACTTATATATATGTGTGTATATATATATATATATGTTTAAAAGGCTATAGAAAGAGGTTTCTTGCCCTTGGTAGCAGATATTCAATAGCAGACAATAGAGCAGTTCATTTGGAAGGGACCTGCCACTCACTATGGCCTGACCACTTCAGTGGTGACCAGAAGTTAAAACATCTTATTAAGGGCAYTTTGCAAATGCCTTTTGAACACCAGCAGCCACGGGGCATCAACCACCACTCTCAAACTTAGGCTCTGTAGACTCCTTAGAGCACCTTTCAGTAGCTGAAGAGGGCCTACAAGAGAGTTGGACAGGGACTATGGACAAGGGTTTGGACAAAGAGGATTGGCCAGGTAGATAAGGTTAGATGAGATATTATGAATAAATTTTTGACTGTGAGGCTGGTGAGGTCCTGGCACARGTTGCCCTCAGAAGTTGTGACTGCCCCTCCCTGGAAGTGTTCAAGGCCAAGATGGACACAGCTTGGAGCAACCTGGGATAGAGGAAGGTGTCCCTGCCCATGGCAGAGGGTTTGGAACAAGCTAATCTTTAAGGTCCCTTCCAACCCAAACCACTCTGTGATTGATCACTGAGGGTTATGAGGACCCTCAGTACGGAGCCATTGGCTTTGCTCTGTGCTCGCAGCTGAAACAGATTTGCACAGATGGGACAGAGCTCCTGTATTTCAGAAAAAAAGGTTTTTTCCCTGATGTTGGAGGGTATTTCTGACAGAGCTTCCTGAATCCCAAGTGCCTACAAAATGAGACCTCGGCAGTGGGAGGAAAAAGTTTACCTTCTCTTGGACAAGATTTACGCTTGCAATGTCCATGTCTGGATCCGGGCAGTTGTTGGTCCCAGGGGGTTCCCTGTGAGGGGAGGTTGGGGCTGCACCATGCCGGGCACACCGCGGTGTTTTCTCGAGTGTTGGTGACAGCAGGGTTTTGACCAGACTGAGACACAACCCCTRAGCCTGTGATGGGCCCTCAYGAGCAGARCTGTGTCTGTGCTGTGTTCACTCTTGGTTTCTCCCCCAGAGCAGAGGTGGAGAGCAGGAACTACCGCAAGAGGGCTGCAGCAAGAAAAATCCCCTTAGATGAGCGAGATGAAGAGTGGGAACTCAAGAAAGAAGAGCTTCGGAGAAACCCGCCGTGTTTTTGGGAGAAGTGCACTCAAAAGAAAAGAGGGGGGAAAAAGGGGAAGCAGTAGAGTGCCCTGCCTGTTTGGTGCCTCTGAGCACTTGCAATGCAGAGCAAAGGCGCTGGCTGACCTCAGGTGATATATGGGTGGATGGGAGAAGGAGATGGTTTCAAGGATGCRTCCTTAGAGATGTACTGTAAACAATGTCCTTAACAACTAGAAGTGCTTCAGCATCTCTGTGTGTTTCTATGTATCAAATATCAATATCTCAAACTAAAAATAAAACCAACTGGAGAATATGTTTATATATACCAATACTCTAGATCACTGTAATGTTTGAAGTTACTGAGATGGCAGCAGTTAGCCATATTGTCAGACAGGGAAATGGTCTTGACCCTACCTGATTCACAGAAGCCTCTTGGACTGTGGTTCTGCTTGCTCTGCTGGTGTCTGTGGCCTTTGCTTCTCGCACTGAGTCAACCAGGATGGTCTGCATGGACCTGCACCTTCTGGTGATGCCTCTCTCTTTTCTTGGAAGTGGGATGTATTTGCTTATTTTGAATGGAGATATTAATGTTGAGYTTTCACTGGACACATGGGTCCAACAGCCTGAATCCCCCATTCCTGGCCCAGYAAAAGGGAAAATGTGCTCCCTCCTTGCAGCTTTCAGGCAGCTGTGAATGCCAAGGGTGTTGGAGCACTGCCTTATTTTTAGCAGGGCCCACAGCCATTTTTATGTCTCTGCATGTAGGAATGCTGTGCAAGTGGTCCTTACGTGTCAGCTTCTCCAGACTGGGCACATCCTGCATCCCCATGGGCTCTGCGGGGTGGCTGTGCTGATGGACACCCTGTCCCCTCCAGTGGCAGCTGAGTGAGGCTGGTACACAGGGCAGTGGTGCTGTGCTGGCTGTCACGTTCTCAGGGGTTTCATGGAGGTGGAAGAAGGGATGTGCAGTGTGGTTTGCTGGGGCTGTGAGGTTTTGTGTGGTAACATCTGCAAGATGCAGGTTTTGCCTGCTGAATTTTGTGGCATGTGAGGTTGTGAGGGATGATATTGCATGGTATGTAGGGGATAAGATGTGGTGCTTTTTTGTGGAAGTGGTTGGGATTGTCATGTTAAAGGATAAAATACATCAGCAGCAGTAAGGAGAGAGAGAAGGTGTGGATRTGCCTGTTTTTTCTAAGCCTTTCACTGGGGAGATGTGTTCAGAAGAGATGCTCAAGATCTGACTCTGCCTGTGATCTAGTGACAGAGATGACCAGTTCAGGTTCTGCTCTGTTCATGCTGGAACTGTTTCATGTTTCACCTGCTGTGGTGTGTTAACTTTGGCAAGCTGACAGGCCCTGACCCAGCTGCTCCTTCCTCTCACCCATAAATGGGGTGGGAAATAGGAGAGAAAGGCCGATAGATCGAGATAAAGACAGTGAGATAACTCACCAGTTACTGTCACAGACAAAACAGATTTTATATGCAGAAAATGAATTTATTTGCCTATTAAAAATTATAAAAGTCGGATAATGAGAAACAAGCAAAAAACTAGAATCCACTGCCTCCAACCCCCTATTCATCCAAGACTCAGCTTCACTCCTTCATCCCCCACTCCGGCACCTCGTCCTCCCCAGCAGCACAGTGGGGTGCAGTTGGTTCACAATTGAAATGATAATTGAAAATGTTTTATTTAAGTCACATTACTTTAGTTCATAGTATTTGAATGATATATTAACCTCGGAGATGAGAACATCTGTATCATGTACATTGCTTGTAGAATTGCATTAGAGATCAAACTACTKTTTTTCTATAATGAAATACCAACATGTTGCATGGGCTCCAGCTTTTGTTATAGTAAAACCATGACAAACTCCTAACTCATGCAAACTTTGCACTTCARACTTCTTTTGATGGGAAGAATCTTCAGCAATGCCTTTTCTAATTTAGGATTGCTGAAGATCAGAATAAGTGAATGAACACYCGGAAAAGCATACTGAAATACAATGATGACAAATGTTACAGGAATTCCCTTCTTAGTGGCATAAACCATACTCAAAACCAAACATACAAAGTTAATGCTGTACATGACTAAGAAGGAGAGAACAGATTTCATGGCTCTGATGTGGGCATCCATGCTGAGGCTCTTCATGGAGTTGGCCTGCATCCTGTTTTTGTGCCTCCAGAGAGAAAAGAGAAGGAAAACAGCAGAGAAGATGACTGTCATGAATGAAACAGCATATCCAAATCCAGCCAGAAAAAAAGAAGGGAAAAAATGTTTATCCATTTTGATACTTGCTTTCCAAAAATTTCCGTGTTTGGTGGAATTGCGGTTGCAGTGCGGTTTGTCAGCAATGTCATAGGCAACGATGGCGATAACCAAGGCTAAAATCTCTGACCCYAGKAARAGCCATGGCACCATCCTGTCAATTCTTGCTTTCAGGTAGATGAAGAAGCTGTTCCKGAAATTGGCAATTTTTATACAATAAAAAACGCAAAGACAGGCMGAAAYCCACAAGTTGGAATAATYAAAAAAGCTTTGAAAAGACACAGCTAGTTGAAGTATGGGGTGAACATAGAGGTAWKTGGGRTAAATTATTGCAAGGAAGTAGTATGCCCAWGAGATGCACAAATACCAAAACCTGGAACATCCAAGAAGCAGCAAGATCTTCTCAYTAGAGTTCARGRTTTTCTTYTYGACCCAGGCAATGCAGAGCACACAAACAATGAAAGCATTTATCCACATGCCAGCAAATGTCTCGAGGGTGATGATGGCCACAGAYRTGRCTCCATATGAAGTGACATTGGATTKGTGTGGAGAGTGACAARSTTCCATGGTGCGAGCTGGGGAGCAGAGCTGTGCTGGCCAAGGGGGCTGTGGCAGCAGTGCCTAAGGCAGGGCAGTGGCTGCTGTTGTCTGAGTGTGAGGGATGGCAAGAGGAGCTTTATAGAGCTGCTGCTGSTGGGGGGGATTTTGGTGGCGCTGCTGTGGGGAGCAGGGCAGGTGCAGGGATGGAAATGTGCTGGGTATCCCCTTACCCGGGGCCGGTGTCACTMTGGACTATTTGAATGTTGGCTCAGTGGGGCTGTGTTGGGTGACACACAAAGCAGAGATGTTTTCCTGCAGTGGAGAGTGCTGCAACATGGTGAGTAACCCCTGTTTGATCAGTGTCAGGCTTCAGGAAATGGATCCCGTTGTCCCTTCACCTACAATAGTGAAGTTAGTTTTGGATGCACTCATTCAAAAATATTATTTCTTTTGCTAATTTGTGATATTGATAGCAGACAGAGAATTTCCTTAAGAAAAAATTAATTTCCTGATATTGTGTGTTCTCTGCTTTATGCTTTGGTGTGATTTTCCCCTGGTTTTGCTGAGAGARCAGAAAACACAGTGGAAGGCAGGTGGTGTTTTGTTTCCATGTTTGCTTGCTTGCTTGCTTCTTTCTTCTTCTCTCTCTATCTTTGTGAGGAGAATGCGATTTCTACTACAAGAGGCGGGAAGTTGAATTATCTGGGCTGGCACTGTGCAGGACCACACCATRGTCTGGATTTTGAGCTTAGCTCTGCATGAGTAATCTGACCCCTTGAAAACAGAACTGTATAAAATCAGAATCTCAAATGTTGTGTTTTCAATRTATGGAATGTGTGGAYCGGCTCCTTAAGAAACAGAATCTACTCTTAKTTCAAAGCCATTCCCTMCAGCATCATTGGARAAGGGGAGCGATYCACTGAGACTTTGTAYYTAYCACTCATGTGGAGATTGTGTGATCTTGGGGAAAAGAGCTATTATAGTGGTTAAGATGTTAACCTGCTTTAAAAGGCAGTTTCTCTCATTTCATGAACTGGAATGAATGTTTTTGAAGGTGGTAATATGAAAAAAATAAAAACCTGGCACTGAG